AAAGTGCACTGGTTCCCAAACTTTTCAGGTTTTGACCCACAAAATAACAGTAGCAGAGACCTGTGCCCACAAATATTTTTGTAGTCAACAAAACATGGGCATGGTAATAATATTTTTATACTACATTTATCCATTTTAAATACACTAACCTCACTCCTTTGTAACAACTAAGGCAAAAATGTCATTAATTCAGAAAATCTTTTCAGGACCCCACCTTGATGTTTCAGGAACCCACTTTGGGTCCCGACCCCAACTTTGGGAAACACTGTAGACTATCCTCTCTTCCACATTTGCACCCACGAATATGGCGATTTGATCACGTGATCTGCAGGTCRCTACGTCATTTGAGAACCATCTATAGGGGGTTCACAGATAATGACAGATACGACAAACTGTGTGGGCATCCTTTTAAGGTKTATGTGGCCAACGTAGGAAAGTGCAATGACACTATCGGAATCCCCCTCAACTAACTAAAGGTACATGAGGTCCATRAGCCAAGAGGAGAGGAGGGGTGTCACAGGAGCAGCATTTATCTTAATGTTTGCAGGTCTTACATGGAAGATATTGTGGTTGTTTTTGCTGATTTTAAGGCTCAAAAGCAGTAGGTTTAAATATTTTGCACATGATGGCCCCCAAGTTCCTTGAAAAGACCCCTGGACCAGAGCAGGACTGAGGGTTGGACATCTGACAAACACAAACCAGTAAATAAACACAAGAATTACAGAACCCCCAAGTCCTCAACCTCTCCAGGCTCTCTTCCACCTGCTCCCTACYCTCACTACAACCAGCTCCCTGTGAGTTCTATTAATGTTCAATGACGGGAGGATCTCTCTTTTGTCTGGAAATTCTTTTAAATATTTTAGTTTTTAAGCAGAAAAAGTGTGGAAAAGGTGGTGGAAAAAAACCCAAAAGAAGAAGGTGGGACGTTCATGTTGACAGAGTTCATTAAACAAACGTGGGCGTGGTAAAAGTTTGGCAATCGGCACGCTGCAGTTTCCGCTTTCATCCACTTAGACACACACACACACACACCAAGAATCCCATGGGAACCAGAGTGTGGGTGTTTGGCACATCTCCTACACAACGTGTTATCACACACACATAAAACGGAGTGGTGTGTGTGCCTGTGTGTATTTAATTACCTGTGTGTACCTTTGTGGTTACAGGGTGTGTATCACTGGCTTTCACAAGTACAGTTTGGATTTTATGAATGATTTAAGAACAAATAAAAGGTATGATGATGAATCATCAGTCGGTGTAACATCAACGAGTTGACACAGAAATCATTTTTCAATTATTAACAAAAAAAACGTCCCATCGGCGTAACGAAACACCGTTAAAGAGCCGGACATCAGCCGATACCATCCTGAAACACACTGACCCATGAGAGCGACGCATCAACCAGTTTGGTTTATTTGTTTTTGAGTGYGCTGACAGCATGTTGCCTCATACCTGAGCACACTGTGGATTCTACGTCCCRATGAGTAAACGACAGTTTTAATACCTGCCTGTGTAAACAGTGGCAGTTCTTTCAGGCCTTTTCACCAGATGACAGAAAAATAAAGACTTTAAAACGAGCAGGCTTAAAGCAAAAGATCAGCAGTTTTTCTTGGGTTAATCTTTCTTTACACAGTCAAGGTTTGCTGATAAAGTGCTTCTTTTTCTGCAACTCCTCCCTAACCTGGTTTTAACACACCTACACACAAYTACTGTAGCTGCTAACAGACAACTTATTCCAACAAATACGATGACCTTCAGTGACCTTTAACACTAAATTACATGCGCAAAATTCTTTGATTGGATTAAATAATCGGAATGGATTGTTTATATGGGCACAATCCGACCATGACGAGTGTTTACATGCATCAGGCTTTTATTCTGAATAGAAGCACTGACATGTGCAGTTGTTAACTTTATCTAGAAAAAAAGAAAGAAAAAACGTCTACTTTCGTCATGAACATGAACAGCTTCTGAGCTCAGAATGGACCTGCGACAGTTTTAATAATGCTGGAGACGTTACYGCACTCTCTGGTTCAGCTGCTGGTGACGAGCRGACTTATTATTTATTTTTTTGCAAAGCGGTGCAGGCTGTGTGTTTTTCTTCTTTATTGAATGAGAGAACAGGAGGAAAAGTTCTGCTGGAAACACCTCCCTCCACAAAACAGCAGAAACCGCAGGATGAAAGTCAGCAGTCATGAGCAGTCAGGTCAGTTTTCCACCATCAGAATAAGATGATCAGATTAAGTGTTTACATGCAAGTCATTCAGATTATGTCAGCATAAACCACCTCTCTCTTTCAGATTACAAATTTATTTGGATCGAGCTGAATCGGGTCAGAATAACCCGAATAGGGAGTTTACATGAYGCATATTTATTCTGAATGGCTGTTTAATCCGATTACTTATGTCCATGTAAAAGTAGCTAATGTCCTGTTATATGATGGGCCCATCCATCCATCTTTATATCTATCCATCATCCATCTATACATCCAAACTATCCATCCATCCAACCAACCATCCATCTATACATCCATCCAAACTAAACCATCCATCTTTATATCTATCCATCATCCATCAACTCATCCATCTATACATCCAACCAACCAACTATACATCCATCCAACCAACCATCCATTTATACATCCATCCAAACTAAACCATCCATCTTTATATCTATCCATCATCCATCTATACATCCAACCTTCTATCCATCCATCATCCAACCAACCAACTATACATCCATCCAACTATACAGTCATCCATCCATCCATCCATCCAATGAACCAACCAACC